TTTTTAGTTGAAAATACCATTTTTTTTCTTAATGTATTCTACTAATAATAATATAAATAATTATATATATATATATATATATAATGAATAATATGGATTTGATAATTGAAATATTAAAATATTATTTTAAAACATATATAATAAAGATATGTAATTCTTATATTCAATTATATCCATAGCATTCATTGATTAATAGTGCATTGGCAATAGATTAATATAAACAATAAAAAATACCAAAAAGCAGCATTGCTGCGATAAGATTTTCTTAAGAGACTGTAAAAAAAATAAAAAATAAAAAAATAAACATTACATTTTTTAATGAATTCTTAAAAAAATCTATATCGCAAAATCAAACAAGTCATTTTCGTACCACTTGCTTGTATCGATGGTCTCTATCATTAGATTATCGATCGCTATCAGTCCTACCAACAGTGAAATAATTATTTTTATATTAACTAAATAATAACATGTTTTATATGATTTTTAGTTTAATCTATATAATAAATGTTTACCTTGGAGAAAGATTGGCATTCGTATTTTTCTTTGCCAAACCTGCTTTTCTTCTTCCTTCCATTGCTGCTTTCATAGGATCATAACTTTTACGACGTTTCCAATTTTGCATTTCAACCTCTCTTGTATTTGGCGTTGCAGGTTTTTTTGTTTCTTTTGGTTTTATTTTAGATCCCTGCAATAAAAAATGTTTTTAAAAATATAAAAAATAAAAATAAAAATTATCTTTTATACATAAAATATAATATAAAATATAATATAATATAAAAGATAAATACAGTATTTGCAGTTCTGCTTGATCTCATACTAAAACGTCCAGAATCAGTTCTACTAATACTTGTAACAGATTCAGATTTTCGAGTATCTTGTATAATTGATTTATTCTTATTTATATTTCCTGGTACTTTTGTTGATTGTATGTCTAATCTTGCTCTGCGTAAACTGCAAATAAATACTTAAAATATACATAATGATATTATTCATTAATTACATTCATAAATTTTTACCTAAATGCTCGATTATATTTAGTATTTGAAAGAACATTCTGTGCATTAGGATGACGATCATCGCTGCTTTCTGTATCACTAGGTTGATGTAATGTTTTTGACATACTTTTATGTAAACTATGACTAGTGTCTTCATCACTATCATTATCTGAATCTACTAAAGGTGAATGACAAACCGTAATACGAGCTGACATAGCTGACATTACATTTTGTGTTGTTTGTAAATAATATGATGTTTCTATATCACTATCACTTTCCTATGTATAAAAAATTAAAGAATAAATATAAATTTTAGAAAAAGATATTTATATACATTTACCAATTGTGGGCTACATGGTGGAGGTACTTGATTATCATTTTGAACAATATTTATTTCGTTGTCAGACCATTCATTAGCTAATGAAAGAGCAGCACCAGTTCCATGAAAACTTGCTGATCGCAATACAGAATTATCATGACTAGAGATATATTAACAGAAATTTAAATTATATTCTATAAACATTTGCAATATTATGTTTTCAATATATACATACTTTCCTGAACTATCTTCTGTACTATGATGTTTTTTTGAATTATCTATTAATTTTTTTCTACCTTCTGCAGCTGCTTTCATTGGATCATAACTTTTTCTCCTTTTCCAATTTTGAAATTCTACTTCCTTTGATGTTAATGTTGAATTACTTCTACCAGATTTCTTTTGATCTTTAATTATTTTCTGAATAGGACGTTGTGTAGTAGAAGTTAGCTATAAAATATTATAAATCATAATTATATATAATTACATATAATTATATTAAAAAAGAATTTTATAAATTTAATAGAACAAAAATATAAAATATGAAATATAAAAAAAAAAATATAGAATAAATATTTATAAAACAGTTACATGAGATGATTTTGGTGCTCTCATACTAAGTCTGGTACTATCAGTTCTTGATATAGATGTAGTTCTTGGTTTTATAGGCTCTGATTTTTTTAAAGATTCTTTATTATTTATATTCATATTAGTTATACGATTTCGATTTTGCTGTTTATTTAAAGATGTTGATTTTGTTTCACTTTGTGCTCTTCTGCGTTTTTCTTCAGGAGTTGTATTTGGAGTTGTATCAGATTCACAATTTAATCTATATATTATGAAAGAATTACAAACACATTATATTAGTGCTAAATTTATTATTTTTATTACATATATTTTAAAGTACCTAGCTCTTCTTATGCTAAAAGCTCGATTCAATTTAATTCCAGAAGAAACTGAACCTAATGAAGATTTTACTTGCTGTTCACCAGTTTCACTACTACTGTCCGAAGCAGGAAGATATCTTCCTCCTAAAGATGTTCTATCAATATCACTACTATTAAAACTACTGCGACGAGATGATTGGCTTTGTAATTTTATATTTCTAATATTTGCATTGCTACATGATCTTTGGATATTTAAATTACATTTAACATTTGGACTATTTTGAAAAACATTATTTGTTGTACTAAAGCCGATATTTTCTTCGTGATAATTTGCAGTACTATTAGATTTTCTTAACATGTATGGACTAAAAGAACAAAACGATTTTAGAAATAGAAATGAAGTATTTTCAAATTTTAGTTATTATTTATACCTATTTTCAACACATGTAAAATATCCAATATTTTTTGCTTGTGGAGAAGACTTTGCCAAATGTTTAGTTCTTTCCATCACTGGTGAATTAACAATTTTGGTAACTGTTTTACGAGTTATAATTGGACTATTTGTTAATTTTGGTGTAGACGGCCTTAAACGATTTAAAACTGGACTATTTGAATACTTAATTTCATCATCTTGATAATACTTCACACTATTATTTTTGGACGTATTACATTCTGCTGTATTAGATGTATACTCTTTCCTATATTATGAAAAATCAAATTACAAAATTAATTTAAATTATATTTTTTAAATATTGATGTTTTTTACCTGTCCAAGGAACTACTTCGTCTTCCTAAATGAAGAGAAGTAAAATCTTTGGACGGACTACTTAATTCTGTATTTATATCTTCAGTCTTTGATTTATTTGAACTTATATATTTGCGAATACTTCTTCTATTTTCGTTGGTATTAATTCTTCTAAAAAGAGATTCAGAAAGACTTCCTCTTCTAGCCAAAACTCCATGTACTGGTGTTCTTTGTGAACTTTGTGGAGGTGTATTATAACTATTACTAGTATCATCATCTGATTCTCCACCAGAATCAATAAGTATATGTTGATTTGAAATTCTTTCTTTTATTCGTAAATATGATTCTGCATCTAAACTGCTATCGCTTTGTTCCTGAAAATGTTTATTATAATTATATATATATATTTATATTGTTGTATAAGATATAGTAGATTAATAAAATTTGACAAAATGTTAAATTTGCTCTTATTGTAACACTTTGTAAGTATATATTGATTATATGTATATATATTGTAATAAATATAAATATTAACAATGAATACTTCATACATTGCGACCACGAATCAATCGTTGCGATCTGTTATGAATAGGAGATGGTATTTTAGAAGGACTTAGTGGAGGTGTACGACCAGTTAATCCACCAATTGCTGGTGGCAAAGAATTATGTTCTGCTACTTGAGTAGCCCATTCTGATATCCATGTATTATTATCCCTTGAAACACTCATCTTTAAAATAAAAAATATTTTAAATAATAGCAATTATCATAATAATAATAAAATAGATAGAATTTACTTACTTTAAAACTATGAATACATGCTTCATTGCTTTCATCTTCAGTTAAAACACCAACACTAAATACTTTATCTATATCCATTCTAGCTTTTTCTTCATCTGTATAATCTTTATGAATTGTATATGTTCCTGCTTCACTAACTGCACCATCTGATCCTCCATCAATATTACTAACATTGAAAACATCAATATCTGTCTCAGTTAAATCATTAGGATTTACTTCCATTGTATAGCTAATGCTAGATAAATTAGGTTCCTTAATATTTATACTTTTATGTTTAATATAACTGATATTAGATACTTTTTCAGATACATCAGATGAATGTTCATATTCATCTTCTTGATCAATATTTTTTGTATACAACTTTTCATCATCATCATAATTGTTTGTTTGAATTCTACTTAAATCATTTATAGTAGCAGATTTTTGTGGTACCCAATATGATGTTGCATTTGTTTTCTCTGTATAACCAAGTTCTAAAGATAGATTTTTATAAGGAAGTTTAAGTTGTTTTGATTGTTCAAAAGATTTACTCATTATATCTTGTTTATTTTGAAAATTTGATACTTTCACATTAGATTCAGATTCTTTAAAAATATGTGATGGTTTTAAAAGTGATTTTGAACCTAAAAAAAAAATAAAATACAATAATTATAAAAAAAAACTATAAAATTTTATAAAAACTTATAAAATAAGAGAGGAGAAATGTAAAATAATTTTAATGCTAAAATCTATGAAGTTAAAATTTTTTAATTCAATATATGCAACATAAAGTTTTAATAAGAATTCATATATGATATTAAAATCATTAATATTGGCAGTATACATACTGTGAATATATTGAAAGTACTTGAGAAGAATATTAAAAAGCATAGTAAAGATGACTTCATCATGACTCATACATTACAGATATAATCTTTCATATATGCTTCTCAAAAGAAATTGGTCTTTAATAATTATAAAAATTTTAAATGTTAAAATAATTATAACATTGTTTTAAATGTTAAAATTTTTATAATTACATATAATAACTACATATTTATCATAGTAAATTATTAAATTATATTAATAATTAATAAATAATTCTATTATAATTCAGATACATAAAATTATAAAAAAAATTTATTATTAATTTTTATAATTATTATATTATGTTAAAAAAAAATAATTTATCATTAAATTTCAAAAATATGATATAAATTAAATTTTTAATATTTTTAGATGTAATTTTAATTAAAAATATTACCTAGTTGTTTTAATTTTTTTTGATAATTGATCTGTTTTTCGTCTTGTATCATCTTCACTACTAAAATAACCTTCAGAATGTATACTAGAAACTTTTTGTTTTTGCATTAAATTTGAAGAAACTAAAGTACCAGGTTTTTTTGTATTTATTTCTACCTAAAAATGCAATTCTAATTATAATTATAAATCTAGTTATATATTTCACTTATTATATTTTTATTATATTTTATTTATGTAAAAAATTATTTGATACATATTTTAATATTATATATTTTTATAAAATATATTTTATAATACATCTACCTTAGATGTAGATAAGTTTCTTTTATGTCTAGCATTATATCTTTCAAATAAATTTTGATATTTTGTTGTATCAATTTCCTTATTGCCAAAGTCAATTGTGAAAGCTAATGGAGCTTGAGATACATAACCATCAGTAGAATTTTCTGATGTTACTTCTATTTTTTCAGTCTTACAATCATTTTTTAAAACTTCTTCATCTTGTGATAATTCTTTTTCTTTATCTTCATCACTTTTTTCTTCTCTTTCATTGGTAGACATTAAATTATCTTCTAAATTTTTTGCATAAATTTGAGAATTTTCAACTTGTGCGTATATAATAGTATCGTCACATTTCTCGCTATCAATCGTTATATTTTTAAGAGAAGACAATGAATTCTCGATATCTTTAATATTTTCGTTGTCTATCTGAATATCATTATTAAATTCCATCGAATTATTTGCTAAAAGTTGAGTGTCAATCTCTTTGGATATATTCTTTTCTACTTCCATATTCACAGCCATTGAACATTCCAATTTTAAACATCCGTAATTAGAATGTTCACGTTCTCTATGACACTACTATCTATTACAATTAATTTGTAAATGCCACTTCTATAATTACATCTCACTATTTGACCGTAACGTCATATAAAATCCAATATAGTATAAAATTTCTCTGACACATCGACACAGTTGCGTCTATCAAACGCCATTGACGGCAAAAAGTGTCAACATTCGTGATTACCAATATGTAGAAGAAAATGTTACTAAAATAAAAGTATTATATTATTAGAATCATCCTATGAAATCGGATAATTATTAATTGTATGAAACAAATAATAATAATAATAACTTGATTTTTATATGAATAAATAATAATTATATAATATATAATATGGTATATTATAATTTTGATTATAAAACTAGATTGCTGTGGAACGAATGGCGTGATATACGCTACTGTATCGACGTTGATGTTTAACGTTTTTGGTTCTACGCGGTCTTCCTAGTTTATTATATCTTGCATGACGTTAAATTTACCCTTGTTAGGAGGGCGTGCAATTTTCACGATCTCCGTTTGCTTATTTTAGTGATAATGCCAAAGAGAAAGAATCACGCTCTTATAGATTCTGATAGTAGTGGCAGTGCATCAGAAAGTGGCTCGGATTTGGATAATGTAAATGATATAACCTTACATAAAAATTTCGTATTACACATTTTCTATTTTATGCTTTTATTTCATTTCTTATACAATGAAAATTAAACAAATCAATTTTAATATTAATATTACTTGTTTCATATTATTTTTTGAATCTTTAAAATATATTATAAAAAAATATATATATAAAATTTATTTTACATAACCTACTAATATATGTTTAGATTTAGGCATTCAAATAGTTAAGTTCTTAATTTGTAATAATTCATTACTTATAATTAAAAAGAAAAAGAATATATTTATATATATCAGTTTATATGTATTTTTCAGTTATACATTTAATAAATTTATCCATTTTATATAAAACAATTGAATTTTAATTTTAAATTTATGTATGTTTGATTTAGGACTTACTCTCACTTGCTAAAAAGAAAAAAGGAAAAGCTCAAGATGATTCTCAATCTAATGAAGAAACCAGTAATATTAAAAAAGATAATAAACATGATTCAGATACATCAGATTCAGATGATGATTGGGGTACAAAAGCTGGCAAAAATAAGAAAAAGAAAGTACCAACTAAAAGAAATAAACGAAAAATGACAAAGTCTAGTAGCGAAGAAAGTGCTAGTGAAAAAGAACCTGAAAAGATCTCGGAACCAGAAGAAGGTAATTATTTAAAGCAAACATTAAAATAAATTTTTTATATATTAAAATATAATTAAGATATATTTTATAATTCTATGACATTATATAATAATTTTTTGTTTTTAGGTGAAGTTTCAGACTCGGATGCTAGTGTTTCTGATTCTAGCCAAGAAGAATTTAATGATGGCTATGATGATAAATTAATGGGAGATGCTGAGGATCAAGCAAGACTTGCTCAAATGACAGAAAAAGAACGTGAACAAGAAATTTTTAAACGTATTGAACAACGTGAAATTATGAAAACAAGATTTGAGATTGAAAAAAAATTGAGAATGGCTAAAAAACAAGAATTAAAAAAACAAAAAGAATCAAGGAAGAAAGAAAAAGGTACAGAAGAAAAGAAAGTTGATAGAGCACCAGATCCTAAAGAACGGAGTAAAGATCGTAAGAAAACTATAGAGGAAAAACAAGATAAAAAATTTCATGCAATGTCTCTTTTAAAAGCAAGACGAGAAGAGAAGAAAGAAAGAGGTAAAATATTAAACAAATAATTAAATAAAGAATAAAAAATAAGTTAATTAGAAATTATTACGATTAAATATATTTTATTTCTTTTTGTTAATTAGAGGAAAAAGAAAAACAAAGGATAGAACAACAGCAACAACAATCAAAGGATATTGAAGAAGAAGAATTAGAAGATGATCACAAAGGAGGAGCAAATAAAACAAAACTTAAAGCATCTGATATTTATTCTGATGATAGTGGTTCATCAGATAGTGGTGAAGAAGAAGATATTACTAAACCATCATCTCAACGTAGATCATCTTCAAGTGATAGTAGAGATACTGATTCTGACACTGATAAAAAGTCAGTTTTTTCTTTCTTTCTTTTTTTCTTTTTTTTTTTTTTTTTATTAAAAGCATTAGTTAAATATTAATGGTATTAATAATCAAATAATTTTACAGATCTATTACCAGTAATAAAGCCAAACCAAAAAAGCCAATATATGTCAGTACCAAGGAAGATCTTAATAAAATTAGATTATCTCGTCATAAAATGGAAAGATTTGTACATTTACCTTTCTTTGATAGAGTGGTGCAAGGTTGTTTTGTTAGAATTGGCATTGGAAACAATAATGGTAAACCTGTATACAGAGTAGCTGAAATTAGTGGTGTTTGTGAAACAGGAAAAATATATCAACTTGGTGGTACAAGAACGAATAAAGGATTAAAACTAAGACATGGCGCTCAAGAACGTGTATTTAGATTAGAATTTGTATCGAATCAAGAATTTACTGAATCTGAATTTTTCAAATGGAAAGAAACTTGTGCTTTACAAGGAATATCAATGCCTACTTTTGAAGAAGTTGAACAAAAATTAAAAGATATTAAAGAAGCTTTAGTATACGAATTTAAGGAAGAAGATATAGAAAAAATAGTACGAGAAAAAGAAAGATTTAAACAAACACCATATAATTATGCAATGAAAAAAGCACAACTTATGCGTGAAAGAGATGCAGCTAATTGTAGAGGAGATGATGAAACTGCCAGTCGACTTAATCAAGAATTAAGTGAACTTGAAGAACGTGCTTCCGAACTTGATAAAATGCGTACAGCAACAATATCTAGTATATCATATATTAATGATCGAAACCGAAAAAAGAATGTTGAAGAAGCAGAAAAAGCAATTATGGTAAGCTATAAAATATCTACTTTAAAATATAAAATTATTAAAATGTTATATATTGTTTATATAACAGGAAGAGTTTAAAGCTAATAAAGGTAAAAAAGTAGATGATCCATTTACCAGACGAAGTACAAAACCACGAATGGTTTTTAAACCAGAAGATGAAGAAGTATCATCTACTGCTCTAGTAAATGATAAAGTAAGTCCTCAACAAACTGAGACAGTGACAGTATGTAATGAAAAAGAAAATGGTCAAGAAACAAAGAAAAAACAAAGTACTGAAGATTTATTTAATGCTCATGACTTTGATATCACAATAGATTTAGAAGTACCAATTCCAAGTAAGTCAAGTATATTTATATTTTTTCTATAATATTTTTTTTATGAAATATATATACATAATATTATTTTTTTAGACAATCCTGTTAGCGTATTACCGAAACCTATTAGTAATATCAAGGATACTGGACCTCGACGATCTTTGAATTTAGAAGATTATAAGAAAAAACGAGGGCTAATCTAATTTTTTATTAGTTTTAAAAGTAAAAAAATCAGTCTTTGATGATCTGATTAATTCTAAAAAAAGAAGACGAAGTCTTGTAACGGTTGACTGAAAAAGCTTATGTATAGTTCTCATATATAATATTATTTTTTGTTATAAATAATGACTCCTTCTTTTAGAAAGGATAGATAGGTGGTTCCTACCATATAATTCTATTTACGAATTGTATTTTTTACGAAAGAATACAATTTAATGTTCATTAGAACATATTTGTTTTTTAAAGAACATTATTAAGGGGTACTTAAAAGAAAAGTATTACAATTTGAATTATTTAAGAACTTTAAAACTGCATTTGTTTTTTTCATTCAATGGTACAATTTTTTCTACCTTTTAACAAAAGTTCTACTTTTTTATTTAAAAGAAAAAATAAAGTCTATATTTAGAATTATATATAATTAATTTCTTAATATAAATCTTTAATAGATAATTTTAATAACAAAAATCAGCATGGATCACAAATATATTAATCATGATTTGTGTATATTATAATGTGACATTTCTTCTGTGTTTTATACATTAAAATAAATATTAATAAGCGGCCACCTTATAGTAAAAAACATATGAAAAATTATATATATTTGAACTGGATAAAAATATGCTTTTAATAATTAAGCTTATAATTAATTGATTTACATAAGAATATTATGAATACGTATAAATATTTTTTTATTCCTTACAGTGTTATAATATTACAATTGCAAAATACTGCCAATATAATTTGGCTACAGATGCTTGAATAATATGTTTTATTATAAAAATTTGTAAATATTCTCTAAACAGTTCAAATAATTTAAACGCAAAATTCTTATATATATACATATATATATTTCTGTACTAAATAATGATAAAAACATATTTTTAGATATATACTTTTCTTATGTCTAGTTAATCCAATTATTGTTAACTTTAATCTGTCAAGTTTGATAGATATTTATCAAGTGTATTAATAGTATGATTTTTATTAATGTCTAAAAATGTATTTTTTACTTTTTTTTTTTTTTTTTTTTTTTTTTTTTTTTTTT